TCGTGAAAAACAAACAAACAAACAGACACACACACATCCACCACACACACACGGACACAGCCGATTATATGTGGCACGATTAGCCCAATATCATAGAGTACCAATATATGCTAAATGCCTCATATTCTATTTACCGTCGGAACCTGCTCCCCTGCATGACTGTTGTTAGCGGCGTTCTAGTTCAAACTTACTTTCTGCTCCCTCATCTCATGCGACTAGGGTCTCCACACTTTCCATCAAGGATCTGCTGGAGCCTAACACTGTAAAGTAACAGGAGACGAGAAGTGAGGACTATTCACGCAACGACCATGGCCGGGAGAGATAGAGGAGCCCCAGCGCCTCGATCAGTGTCTAAGAAGGTTATGTTGTGTTCGTGGAAATTGACAAGAGGTCACCTTTCTAGCATACGGTTGCACTACCAATGCTGTGATGCTTTGCGGACAGCTGGATCTACCGGCAGCCAAGCTCAGAGGGATACTGAGGTGAGATTTCTGAATGACATGCGCGCCCATGATCGCGAAGTTGACTCAAATGAGCTGCGCCATCTGAACTGAACTGTTCTTCCTTTCTTCCCTTCTTCCTTGTTCTTATAGAGTCATGACCCATGCTAAGGCAGTGTTCAGACTTGTCGCGCTTGAACGCGCATTGATTGTCGCGCTTGAACACGCTACAATTACAAGCGCGCTCCAATTGTACCAGGCCCAGCTTCCCTTTATGTTCTTTCTTCCGGTATTCAACGATTCTTAGCTATACTTTTCACTTTTACATTGAAGTTTTTGATACAGGACACTGTGATAATGATTTTGTATACCGTTTTCGACTGATGCTTGATGTCTTGCAGTGGTCCATCATGTTGATCGCGATTACGAAATTGTTTTCGTTCAAATGTTCAAAATGAAATTAGAAACACTGAAAAGGGGTTGAATACTGGAAGAAAGAACATAAAGGGAAGCTGGGGTCTGGTACAATTGGAAGCGCGCTTGTAACTGCAGCACGTTCAAGCGCAGCAACGCATTTTCAAAGACGACAATGCGCCACAATCAACACGCGCGACAAGTCTGAACGCGGCCTAATGAATGGCCGTTTGACGCAATGTGAATGAGAAGCTAGGGCGGCTTTGTCCTAACATTACGTCACCGGGATTCTGCTACAATTGGTGCAAAATTCTGCTCCGGCTGCGCTTCAAGTCACGCCGCGCCCTGAGCTCAATTGTTTTCCGGGATCGCGACTGTACCGTAAAGTCCTGACCCTGCCCTGTCGGTTTATCACTCGTTTCGGTTTTCGCTCATGATCTAGGCGGTCACCACTTTGTTGTTGAAGATAGGCTCAAAAGGGCCGTCAGTTGTTCTTCGATAGCAAGTCCCAACGCTTTTAAGGGGAGATTCCTCAAGTTGCCAAGCGTCATGAGCCTGGGGGGATACTTTCGGACAGTGACTGAAATCATAACACAAGAGAATAAACAGTTTGAAAATGAAATATTGGAGTACACTGGAGAATACTGCCCAGTCTAGCGCTTGCACTGCAAATTAGGGTCTCACGATGTTTTCGCCGACTTCTCTTGCTTTTTTCTTCATGGTTTATTGGACTACCACATGCCTTTTGTTTCCCAAGTCCAACACCCACGGCAGCGGACTGTGTCTTTAAGGTGCACATGGATTAAACAGGACTGCACTGGGTGAACTTCTACGTTTCGAAGCAAAAAAATAGAAACCACAAAAAACGTCTGCTTACCTCCATCTGTCCAACCTGGAACTTCTCTTCATGATCAACCCTATTGTTCAGATGATCAATCCGTTCGTCACCACCATATATTTCAGCTTCATCTGATTTCCAAATTTTTCTGAACTCGGACATGCCCCCTGCGTGGTCCCAGTGGTGGTGAGTGACAAGTGCCGCTGCCACAGTGACCTAAGAGTACTTGAGAGAGTGTGCACAGAAAAAGGTAATTTGAGCAAGCTCAGAAAAAAAAAGTAATTTGAAT